TATCTATCTATCTATCTATCTATCTATCTATCTATCTATCTATCTATCTATCTATCTATCTATCTATTATCATCACATACACATACAGTGAATATAACAATGTACTACAGGCTACTTAAAGCATAATTCAAAAATGATTTCCCCATCAATTTAATAAGAATGATAAAAGTTGCTTTCTCTATGTGTACAACATAAAGGTACAACATAAACTCAAGATTAAAGCAACAGGCCATTGGTGCATGTGACCTAAGTATGTATATGATAACTCATTCTTTTAATTATCTCTTGTAGCCCTAAGCTGGTCCATGCAGCCAAGATTTAGTATATGGCAAAAAAAATAAAAAATAGAAGATATGAAACCAGTGTTATTTTAATATGCAAACTAGAAAAAATATTTTCCATATGGCAAAAAAATACACAATTGAATTTATAAATAATAATACACAGACACACATACAGCAAATTCTGTCAACCCATCTCATAAATAACTAGGATGAATATCTCATTCACATGTTACACCTCTATCTAAACATACCAACCATGTGCTAAGCATATCAGGCAAACAACTGGTTCAGACAAACCACTTCAATTTGCTTACCACATCACCAATAATATAAAATACTTCATATTTATATTGCATATTTTCAAATGTTGTAATACAGCAGCCATATAAATCAGGATGACAGTCATTTCAATACTAACAATTTTGGAGTAAAGGTTTTAAACAAAAAAAAAGTAAATAACTTTCCAATGCATAATAAGATATAGCCAAATAAGAACATTTTCATGCGCATTCTTAATTATATCAATTCTCACTTATATGGATGTTAACACAATTGCCACTGAGGTTCCAAGAAGCTTAGGGATTATGTTAACTGTTCTTATGAATTCATCTTGTTTATGACAAATTTAAATCACTTCAAAGAAATTCTAAGAAATCTCTTCATTCTATAAAGGTTTGGTCTGAGAAAATTAAAACGCATCACACATTCTGGTTAATAACACAGAATATTATCTTAGAACAACTGACATAATGTATTCTTTTAGGCCAATTCTGTCTCATTATTGTTAGAAATATTAATTATTTTTTCCTAGACTATGAGTTTTGGGCAGTACAGAAACATATAAAAGTGTATCATCACAATATCCTGAAGTAGGGGAAAAATCAGGAATTAATAGCATCTTTTCTTTTTCAACAAATATTTTTTATTAAAAGGCATTAAGCTTTCATGAGCTGTAGCTCACTTCATGAGATCATTGGTTGAGGGAATATCTATCATTGGTTTCACTGAAGCTGGCAATGTTAAGATTTTTGTTAATCTTCATATTCTTCTATTTATTCCACCTTTGATGAGATTGCTTTAAATTTAGGATTGTCTTGTTTTTGGCTAAATATAAATTGTAATTGTACATAATATTTATATTGATAAAAGTTTTTTAGATGAAGAAACAGCTCCTTTTTTATGGCAGAGTTATCACTTTTCTCACTATAACATGGGAAATAGCATTTATTTCACTATATGACATCCGTTGTTGTAGACATCAATTTCTATAGAAACCAACTGTGGTTATGGTTATAAAAAATAGCAAATTTTACAAATAAAATAATTGCTTATTGGAACTTAAGTTTTAAAGACCTTTTGTATCAAATATTCATTTGCAGCCTGCCGGACAAATAATATCTATAGTAGCTGTCCTTCAGCTCCTCTTTATTACCTTCTCAATTATCCTTGCCATATACTCTGTGCATTGATCTTCCAATCGGGTCAGCTGGAATAGCTTTGCAATCTTCCAGATGCTGACAACACTGTCTTCCTCAAGAACCTGTGCCAAAATTCTCCCACACAGACGCTTGAGCCCAGGTAACAGATACATATCGGCCACACAAAGCACTTCATAGGCGTTTTCAGGAGACAACTGCTGGGACAAAAAGGTATCAATGTCAGCATGACTCCAAACCAATACGTGGCCCAACTATAAAACAGATTGAAAGCCCAATCTGGATTAGGACTAAGGAGACGCAGGTTGTAGTCCAACCTCAGCCATGGAAGTGCACTTGGGATCACTCATACGTTCTCTCCTCAACCTATATCACAGAGCTGGTGGGGGGGGGGGAATTAAAGGTGTAGTGCTGTGTATGGTGCCTAAAGTTCCTTGAGGAGAAAAGAAGTATAAATCCAACAAATAACAAGTGTTTTCTGGGATCTTATTCCTCAACTCCCTGATCTGCATAGGCGTAATTTAAGATTAATAAACCCACAATATTGTTAATGATTACACACAGCATTCATATTTTCAGTCTTTTCATTTATCTCACAATACAGGTAACTAACGATCATTCAAAGTTACAATGGTGCTAAACAAATGGTGTTTATCATGGGTCTGCCATGGGTCTTTCAGCATCCCTGCCATCACAGGATCAAAATTCAGGTGCTTGGAGCATACCATTCACCTTTACACCTACAATGCTTCAATGTCCCCAATCAACCTATCTCCTCACCACCATCTCTGCTCTTCTGATCACCCTGCCTGCACCTCCATCTGACCTTTGTTATCTCCTTCCTCCTGCTAATGAGGTGAAGCCAGCAGCTGTCTCATGAAAGTCGCCTGGGGGTGGGAGGGGTGGCAAAGTGCAGGGAGTCAGGGGCAGCAGACTACAGCGTGGCCAAAAAAGGGCAGAGATGGGAGGATGGTGGGCAGGAGGGGAAGAGTCAAAATACACCCTGTGATCATTAATGCAGGCAGGCTGCCAAGTGCTCACATTCTGATCAAATGACCATGTGGTGGCTGCAATGGCCATAACTTCGAGGACTAATATAAATAGTATTTTTTTTTTTAGCGCCGTTAGCATTTCAAATAGTCACTAAACAAATGATCCTTAAATGAGGACTACCTGTATTGTATCTGCAAAGGATACCAAGCTAGTAACATCTCAGGGAATGAAATCCTGATTCGAAATGACCTTGACAGTGCAATTGGGGAAGTGCCTTTTAGCTGGCTAAAGGAAAACAAGGACAGATGGCTTCGTTTGGCAGCATTACTGTTGCCCTGCAGGGCAGCAAAGGGAAAGGGAAAGTGTACAATCTCAAGCAATGTTTCACAGAGCAACAAGAGTTCCTGCAGAACAATTTTCTCAAGACTGTGGCGCAACCAACGTATCTTCTTGGTGCGATAAATTTAGGGAGAGGACAGATACAATAACTGTGTTTTTTATGCTAGAAAGAAGTCACTATCACTAATATGCTGCTCTATGACCTTATAAAGATTTGATTTGCACTATCTTTCACTTATGCCTGTTGAAGAGCAAATATGGTTACTCTCTAAGCAAAACAAAAACAAAAAAACAAACCAGGCAAAAAGCAGTTCTTGTGAACAGCAATCTAATCCCTAAAGTCCATTTTCAGAAAAAAAAAGCTGCAGCTATTCTCTGCCTTTGTTCTTGCCTTTCAGTACATGAAGTACTGTGCACATGTACACATGTATACAGTACACATGCAAAGTTCCTCTGCAGTGAAATTAGGCTAGCTCATTGTGAGATATACATTCAAAGTATGGAAATGAGGTCTCCACCTCACATTTTACCCATCATACTATTACTACCCGATGGAACTTCCTGGCTCAGATTGTTAATGTTAATTTCTTTTTATACTTAGAAAAATAAGGCATATATTTATGATTTTATCTTAAAGTTCATTTTGTCCAAATTGGACTGCATAATGAATGATTGAATGTGGCAGTTATCATACTTCCATTTTACACTGAAAATTCCCCATCTGAATGGGGGAAAAAAAGATATTTAGTGGGCTGGTGTCTATAATCATTTTGACATCACAAACACCACGCTATCCTCTACCTTTTTGAAGAATTCTCATTAAACAAATTCATCATTACTTGTGAAAAATACATGTTTAGCAAGTTCCTCAGAACTCAATTGTCAGAATACGATACAGAAAATAAGAGCATCCATGCTATAGAGTTCAGTTCCATTACGAATTTTCTAAATTCTAAAGCTGCTACTGAGACTTTGCACTATATGCGACAAGAAAATGCAGCATAAAAACAGTGGAAACTATTTTTAGCTCTGGCCAGTTTGCTAACTGTCTACTGCCCTCTCCTGGCAAACTGACCACTCTGTGCACTCAGGTTTCTGTAAAGTCACTTTTCCATTGAGCTTCCTGCTCCCTTTATGGATATACATCCCTGTAGTATTCTTGGCAATCACTACAGCAGTGATGGCTAACCTTTTCAGCTTGGTGTGTCGAAAATCGGGAAAAAGTGTAGCCTTCCTCGGGTCGTGTATCACTTCAAGAAATATCAATAATTTGGTTTATGACGGACTGGGCTGGGGTGATCACACAGGGCTGTGAAACTCGTCTCCCTGGTCTCAGGGCTGCAGGTGCAGGATATGGGGATCGGAAAGCCACCTTACAGGGCTGTGAACCTCATGGATCTCCTTTCCTCCTGTAGCGTTCCTGAGGTAATGGAACTGACAAACCTCAGTTTATGGCGGTTAAAACTGGTTCTCTGCTGCAAAGATCTTGCGGCAGCGGTGACACCACGCCTCCACGCAACAAGCAGGGAGCAGGGATTGGAGCAGAGCACAGGCAGCCTCTAAATGTGCAGGTTTTCCCCACACCAACAGGCGTGTCAGTCAAAGTGCCTCGGCGTGTCACGAGTGACACGCGTGTCATAGGTTAGCCATCACTGCACTACAGTTTCTGTTTCTGGGACTTTTCCCCCCGTCTTTCCTATTAAGCCAATAGTATACCGTACAAAAAAGAAAAAGAAAGAACATGTGTCTATATATGCACAAGTGTGTGTATGCATGTTGTATATGCATATGTGTGTGTGTGTATGTATACACACACACACACACGCACAAAGATATATGTGAAAGTAAAGGCCAAAATGGTCCCAGTGATGGTACAAGTATTTGGGACTGTGACTCCTAAGCTGGGAAGAGTGTGGCTCCCAACAGGTCCCAGGATCCACTCCCTTGTCCAGAAGACTGCAGTGCTAGAAACAGATAAGACATTTATCTTCAAAAAAATACAGCAAGCATCATACAATGCCTGTTCTGCCATGTTTACTTTGCTCTATAACACTGTCATCCTTGCTAGAAGGACTAGCCTAAAAGGCCTCATGCTGAAAAAGAACCCCAGCCTCACCTCTGTGTCATCACTATAGATGTAATATAGAACTCTGATGAAGATCTCCTCTGAAATGTCGTGAAGAGTCACCACAGGGATGCTGGGTTGGGTCTGTAGTTCCTCACTCTCTGAGAAGTGGTCCTCTAGAAGGGCTTTGAAATAGTCACTTCGGCCACAGAAAAATGCCTTCAAAAAGAGAAAAGAATATGTACATGTATGCATATGTACATGTGTGGGTACATATGTCTATATATGTGTGTATACACACACACACACACAAAAAATAATGGAATCTTCTTAGTTAAAATAAGCAAGCAGCAGGATCCAGAAAAGGGTCTGTGACAAGGCAACTATCCCAAACTTTTTAAAGATCAAAAAATCATCACGCTTGCCATCTTTTATCTTTATTTTTTGTTTTATTGACTTTATTGTAACTTGGTTGTTGTGAGCCACCAAGACTCATTGAGAGTTAGGAGGCATACAAGTTTAATAAATAATAATTTACTATTATCTCATTCCTATTCTGGAAATGTCCTACAAGATGTCCCATAAATAAATGAGTGAGTATCATTGGTTCTATACAAGATCTTTCAATATCGAGCAATAGAACAAGAATCGACCCAAGTCAAATCAATGCACCCTATACCTTGTGACACAGGAAACTGTAATTTGCCACTCGGAAACACAGATCAGGATAACTACTGAAGCTGTCGGTGCTATCAAAAGGCAACTCTCCAAAACCTACCTGTACACAAAAGAGAAATAAAACAACTTTAATATTTGACAGTATATTTAATAACATTACACTACATTAATGCACAATAATATATATGCATAATATCCAAATATAGTATAACACAATACATGATAGGAGAAATATTGCTCTTTTACCAATTTTATCACTATGGTACAGGATTAAATCTAAACTTTGATCAGACTTGCTTTTTACCTTAATCCCAGTGACATTCTAAGTCTCCCCAACCACTCCATTTTTTAGGATACTTCAGTACATTAAAGAATGCCCTTGGTTCTTTGGGCTTGGACAGCTGTTTGGCTGTAATGCTGAGTCTGCTGTCTTTAATATTTTTAAATCTATACTCTTTGTTGCATCATAGATCGACAGTCTATGTAAGACTATGAAACTCTATGTTGACTTTCTCAGAAAGTCAAATGAGCTGTAAACCAGCATTATTCATACATACATCTACAAATACATTAAGGGGCCATATCTCTGTTGAAGCCTTGATTTGTGTTGAACTATTTGCTAGGCATTCCTTTTCCTTTCATGTATGCTTTATTTCCATTATACATTAAATGCTGTTATTGTAGTCAGCCTTTATACTCATGTGATAATTTAAAGTTACTTGCTTTATTACATGTTTTATTTAATAAATATATCTATGCTATCCCTACTAATCAAATGACAGGAGAAATAAATGAAAAAAAAAAAAGGGTTTCTATTACCGTGTTTCCCTGAAAATAAGTCCTATCCTGAAAATAAGTTCTAGCATGATTTTTATGCCCCTAATATAAGCCCTACCCCCCAAATAAGCCCTACTTAAGAGCCTGCGCAGCTGGCCTCCCATCCATTCTGTCTGGTAGCTTGTGGTGCCGCTGACACAAGGTGAGGCGAGGTAGGTGCGGGGTTGGAGCTGCCCCACGCATCCTGCACTGCAGCCAGGGCAACCTTGCCCCAACAACTGCCTCATGGTGACAGCACTAGCAGCCATGCCAAGCAGGAGCCCATGTGGCCATGGGCCCACTTCTGCTTGCTCACGAATGCAATGCAGCAGGAGGACGAGCGATGTGCCAGTGCCATGGCCACGAGGCAAGGCAGGTGTCGGGATGTGGATGGCCTGGCTGCGGAGGCCCTGAGGTAAGCCAGTGTGAGGCATATGGGTCAGCTTCATCAACCTGCCTCATCTCGAGACCATGGCACCAGCGCGTTGCTCGGCCTCCTGCTTCATTGCAGCCTCAAGCAAACAGAAGTAGGCTGGCGGCCATGTGGGGTTCTGCTGGACAGGGCTTCTGGAGCTGCCGCTGCAAGGAGATGCAGGTGTCAGGGTGTGGGTGAGCTGGCTGTGGGGCCCCCGAGGTAAGCCAATGTAGGGTGCATGGGGCAGCTCCATCCTCCCACCTCATGGCAGCAGCCCTTGGACACCACATGGCTTTGTGCCCCACTACGGCCATGAGAAAGCAGAAGAAATGGGCCTCGCATACAAGGGGGGGAAATAAGACATTCCCCCAGAATAAGCTCTAGTGCTTATTTTGACACCCTCCCCCCAAGACTGGGTCATATTTTGGGGAAAACATGGTAACAGAAAAATTACCATATGGGCCAGCAGAGATCACCTGGCATATGCTAAATACAATACAATATAATAAATGCTGTCTAACAGGAAACTGGTATAAAATGATTTATGGTAAATTTTCTGTTTATAGCAAATCAAAATATTTTGTCCCAATGTTTAGATTTGCAGACCAAAGCTTTTTATGAGTTCCATATTTTATTAGTTTACTTTTGTTAACAGAGCCAAAAATGCAGGGGGAGTGCAGAAAAATATGAAAGGATTTAACATAGAATTAAAAACACATAATGCCCGATTTCTGAATGCTCGTCAATATAATCCATGCGCAATCAAAGGATGTGTGCAACTTCATAGAGTCCTTTTATTTGTCATGTGCTCAGGCTTCAATTTTCTACCACACATTCTCCCAAAGGCAGTGGGAACTTTAGCAACTTCTCAGTGGAATAAGAATGGAAGTCATACATATTTGGGACAGTATGAAGCACAAGAGCTCTCACACAACTATATACTGCAACTATTACAAAATGAAAGGCACAGTTTTTCTATATCTAACATGCCAGTATATTGGAAAGGGAAACAAAGAATACTGAAGCCTGGCATCCAGAATTTGGGGTTTACCCCAAATATAAAAGTTTATTTTCCTAAGGCTAGTGGGGTCTGGAGAGTTGAATGAACTGACTGGGTTAAGGCTGGACTGAACCCACAAGTATTTTTTTCAATGACCTGGAAAATGATAACATTTCCACCAAACACAATGGCTACTGAAATAAAACTATCTGAGCTAGCAGTATTGACAATAGCAAGCTTTTTGCAAAATATTACAAAAAAGTGAGACAAAATGAGGCTGTCAATTCAGGTTAAAAATAGAGTTATGAGTAGGTAAACTGCCCATCAATATTGTATAACTTTGGTTACCCTAAGAAATATGGATATTTTTTTTTGAACAAATTTTATTAATTTTTAAAGACATACAAAACATAAATACACAAGCACACAAAACATAAAAGCATAAAAAATCTCTTTTCTGAAAGTTGCTTAGTCCCGGGTTAAAACTCTTGGTACAGACACAAATTCAAATTCATATTCATTTTACATACCATTCCATATCTTATTAGCATTTTCAATTTTCTATATAACTTCTCTCTTTTAAATTTTCTCAATTTTATTTTATTTATCTCCTCTCAATTCGAATCATAATATTTATTATTCTTTGTCTGTTCTATTTCCAGCTATCCATTTATCTTTCTTCTTTAAAAAAAAAAAACTTCTCCTGTACACTAAATGGAGTATGATGCCTTTATCTCTTTCCCCTATATTTATAATACTTAATATAGAACACATAACTTACATTGGGATTCTGTCTGGTACATTCTAAAATTATACAGTATTATCAAAACCAATACAAATCTATTCATTGATATTGATATTCATATCTTAAATATTTAGCACAGTACTTTTCAGTTAAATCACATACTTTTATGGGAGCACCTATTTTCCATAGTTATTCCCCCCCCACATCACATATTATAGATCATTATTTCATTACGATGTTCCCCCTTCTTCTACTTCTAATCTCTCATTTCTCAAAAAGTTTCACTAGGATAACATAGTCTAATCATTAATATTAACAATCATTTATATCTTAAACATTTTACCCATTTCAATTAAATATCATGCCTTTGTGGGAACACTTATGCTTTCCAAAATTGTTCCCCCCCCCCCCCACATCACATATCTTAAATCATTGTTTCATTACAGTACTCCCCTTTTCTTAACAAAAATTTCACTAAATTATACTAAATATTTTATCACATTTTAAATTGCATATTATTTCCAATTTTCTAAGGTTATTTCTAAGTACAAATGTAAAAACACAATCTTATGTACCTTTCTAGAATCCCTTTTTCAATAAAAATTTATCCATTATCTCTAAAAAACTTTTGCTTCTTTACATCTTGCTCCCCACCATTAAGGCTTCTCATCCCTTCCTTTCTCCCTTGCTTCTTCTTCTCCTTGTCCTCTTTACCCCCTTGTCTCTCCATCTCCCTTTTATTCTGCTTTCCCCCTTTCTGTTGTTTCCTAACATAATATCCCCTTTTCACCTTATTCTTCTCTTTTTGGGTTGTTTTTCCAGGTCTTAAAGTCTTCTTTTCCTTTTTCTCTTTCTTTTTCCCTTCTCCAACCAAAGTTATTTGTTCATCAAAGATGGCTTCTTCTTTGTCCCCATCATCCTGTTGCTCATTTAACTTTACATAAGTACAAACCGCCATTTCTAAAAATTGAAAAAGAGTGCCAAGGACATCTTTCCCTTCTTGCTTTTCTTTTTCATATTTTTGATATACAAGTTTCAGTCCATCCACAAGTGATGCCATTATGTAGAGAAAAAGTTTTTCCAAACAACCACCCAAGTGCTTTTAGTCAGAAATAATTCTCAGAAGTTCCAAAATCACCACACAATCCAAACAAGCTGTTCCTTTTAAATACTTTCTCCTTCTTCACTTTCTCTTTCTGGGGTTAAAGTTTAGTCACAAAGTTCCCTTTAAAATATATCTTTTAGAAGTCTTATTGATGTTTAGTAACTCTTTAGAATTCTAGGCAATCTTCTCCTTATTTTCAAATTTTGCTCCAATTTTTCCCCCTCTCCCTTCCCACTCACAGCCAAAAAGATTTTTTCCATCCGCTGTCACGTTAGGAAGGAGAGTGAAACGAAAAAAAACAAAAACTTTCCCTTTAAGAATATTCGCAGCTTGTAATTCTCACTGGAAACAATGTATCCTTAGCAGCCTTCAAGCCTCCAGGGCACTTTCTCTTGCCTTGTCCCGGTTGAAAGCAACTTTCGTAATTCTTCCAACTTTCTCCCTCCTGCTCCTGCTTGTCCGGCTGCAGATTTCTTCGTGGCGGCCATTGCTGACCGCCGCTCCTCCGCCTTGGGAAAAGGGGGTTCTGCCGGGTGGGGAGGGGGTCTGCGACACCCCCAAGCCCCTGTCCGGATCCCCCCTGTCTTCAGCTGCCTCTACGGGGCAGCTATATCCCCCAGATCCAAACGGATCGGGGTAACCTTGGCGGCGAACGCAGCAGGGATCGCTCAGTATCGCGAATCCCTGCCGCTGCCGAAACCTTGCAAACCGGATTTTTTTCCCCTTATATGAAATGAACTCATTTATGTTGCTGTTCCTTTAATGCTTTTGGAACCCAAAGTGCCATAAAGTTTTACAAATGATACAGTTTAGCTTTCACCAGTGGTGGAAGTAATTCAATCTATGTTCTTAAAGAAACTGCATGCCTACAGTATTCCTCCATCTGGAGGACAGATTTATCTGCAGTTATGTGAAAAAGTAAGTACACCCCATTTGATGTCTGTAGAGATTCTCAGTCATCCAGGTGATGGTTGTCCCAAAGGTGCTTTTTCAGGAGGCAACTGGACTTTCTGTTTTTTCTTTTGAAGACATGAACCAGGAGCACTGCTCGGGTGACCCTGAGGACAGCGATTAGTATTTCAACGACTCTCTAAAAGGATGAAAATTACTAGCTATCTGCAAGGAATATAAGTCCTTCCATTCCCCACCATCCTGTCAGAGCTGAAGAAGCTTCTTGGATGAGAAGCGAAACATCTTCAAAGAAAAGGAAAGAAAGTCCAGTTGTCTCCTCAAAAAGCATCTTTGGGACACCCCATTTGATGTTTCAACTTTTAAAATATATTTCAAAATACAAATATTTGATCTTCATTTCAACAATGCCACTATATATATATAACAAATATCATGCACCATTTACATTTTGTAGTCTATCTTGTAATTTAAATAAACCTAAATGAAAATGTCTATGGGAAAATTAAGGACACCCCTACATTTATCATTACCTCAAATATCTAGAACTAGACTCAGGTGCATGAGATCAGGTACAAACGATTAGAACTTGGTTACAGAAGATCTGGGAGGAACCTGTCTTGTTGAAATCTCAAGACATTTAATTTGTTTGCTCTTTGCTGTTGAAGTGTGTAGTATCACCATGCCTAGATTAAAAAAAAAAACACTGAGGCCTTCAGAAAGAAGATTATTGATGTCTATAGGTCTGGGATTGGATTTAAAAGGAATTCCAAGCAATTGGACATTAATCATTCCACTGTCCAGAAGATCATCTACAAGTAGAGATTTCAAACAACTGCCAAGTTGTCCCAGTCAGGCCATCCTAGTAAGTTTGGCACGAGAGCAGAAAGCAAGATGCTGGAAAAAGTCTCTAAGGACCATAGAATGCTATATTCACAACCTATCAATAACTCTTGCCACTACTGAGGTCAAAGTGCATGAGTTTACTTTTAAAAATAAAGCTGCACAACTTAGATCTACATGGAAGGTGTGCCGTGTGAAAACTTTGCTGTCCAAACAGAACACGAGGGTAAGACTAAAGCTTATTCCTGGTTTTTGCCAAGACCAGGACTTCTGGAACAATGTACTCTGGACAGAGGAGACAAAGATAGAGATATTTGGCCAAAGTATACATCAGAGGATGTTTGATGAAAACCAAAGACAGAATTTCACCAGAAGAACCTGATACCAACTGTAAAACATAGTGGCAGAAATATTATGATTTGGGGCTGTTTTGCTGCATCAGGCTCTGGGCAGCTCACCATCACAGAATCCACTATGAATTCTTCATTGTATGAGAGGATGCTCAAGAATAATCTGAGACCATCTGTCAGAAGACTAGAGCTCAGACAAATGAGAACTTTGCTACATGTCAATGACTTAAACATTCCAGTAAACTCCCCAAGGAATGTCTGGGAGAAAAAGAAAAGAAATGGAGAGTTCTCTAGTGGCCAAGTCAAAGTCTGGCTCTAAATCCCATAAAGATGTTATAGACTGATTTGAAATTGGCTATGCACAGCTGAAAACATTCTGCATGGAGAAGTTAGAAGTGAGAGTTCCTCTCCATCAGTATAAGAGACTGATAGACAGTTAAAAGAAACACCTATTTAAGGTTGTTTTTGCCAAAAGGGTCAATTACTCAAGAGTATTCTTCTTGTACAGGAGGAAATGAAATGTCTGTTAAATTTTTTATTGAATAAATGATTGCAAAGTCAATTTTTTATAGTTCTTTTGATTCAATTATACATTACCTTTACCTTTATATACTGCATGAATGAAGATATTTTATGTCTACGTTTATTGAAAATGAAAAAAAACCCTGTACATGGAGTGTACTTAATTTCTCACAGGACTATAATCTCTAATATAGTTGGTAAATGCCTGTAAATAAAAAGTTACATTGGTATGGATTTCCCCTACAGTCTTTATGCCTTTGAGTTATGGGACAGAAAGATGGGGGAAAAGTGAAATCCTTAACACAATTATGTGAGAAAATCTTTTGGCCAAGAATCTTGATTAGTAAAATTTACATGTTTGTGTATTTTCATATTTTATTTCCTAAAATTTAATTGGCAGATATAGGAAAATATGAAAGATATGGCTTAGAAACAATGAAATACTGGCTCAAACTCCACTGTACTACTATAGAATAACAAATGATAGAATTTTAATCCTGCCTATGAATAATTTATTAGGATACTCTGGCAAAGATTTTCTTTTCTTTTTTGATTGGGACTATACTATATCATGAAGAGTAGTAAGATTTTTGTGCGACTGCCAGCAAAAAGTGAAAACAGATAATGTCTTATTTAGCAATTCAGGCTGCTTTTTTATCTAATATGTTACAAAGCCTTTATTTATTGATTTATGTGCCGCCAGATTCCAAGACAACTCTGCGTGGTTCACAATACAAAACAAGTAACAATAAAATAGAACAATACAAGTGAACAAGATCAGCATCTAATGAAAAAATAATACATAATACAGGCAGAAACCCATCTAGCAAGAGGACCACACCTATTCTATCCCAAGGCCTAGTAGAACAGCCAGATTTATAAGGCCTTCTGGAAACAATCAGAGTGAAGCCACACGCATTTCTGAAGGGAACTTCATTTTGAGAGGATAGACACTGTGACAGAGAAGACATAGTTCCTGATCCTGACAGATGGCATTGTTTAATAATAATCATAAAAACCTGGACTGCATCAACTCTGCCAGCTTTTAGTAGTTGGCCAGAAACCATGGATAGGTGGTTCCTCAAATAACCTGGCCTAATGCCATGCGAGCTTGTAATCAGCACACTGATTTGCACCTGGAAGCATAATGGCAATGAATGTCACTTGTGAAACAATGGTGTCATGTGGGCATATCGTGACATGCTAAAAACTGCCAGCACCAATATTTTTTGGACCAGCTGAAGCTTAAAAGTGCCTTTCAGGAGGAGCTCCGTGTATAACATGCTCCAATATTTGAGCCATGGGGTGATTAGGGCATGAGTGACTGTCTGAAGGTTTTCCAATAGAGGAAGGGGCAAAACTGTGCTGACGAAACTATGTAAAGACCTTCTTGGCCACAGCTGCCGCCTGACCTTTGACAGGAGCTGGGAGCCAAGAGGACCCACATCACATATGATATACAACCCCATACAAGAGTAGAGATGGAAAAACCCTGGACTTGGGGGACCCCAATATCCACAGCCATTCAATTTGATAGGATTAAGTTGGAGCTATTTCTCCTCATCCAGATTCATATGGAATATCCTTCACTGGAATAAGACCGTGACATCATCACTTGGCCAGCTCAAGATCCAGATGTATATTGGGTATCATCAGCATATTGATAATATGCTGGCAGATGATCTCAGTTTCATTTAATGTTGAACACAAGGGGAGCTAGTATTGAATTACGGCACTGCACAGGACTGATTGGAACCAGCCATGAAGGAAGAGAGTTGCTGTAAACACTGTTCCCAATTTCCAATCCCCACAGCCAATCCAAATGAATACTACTACACTGATGGTGTCAAAAGCCAAAAAAATTCAAGGAGCACAAAGCGAACTGCATAAGTCTTAACCCAGCTCTGCAAAAAGGTAATCAACCATCACAACCAAGGTTGTCTCTTGGCTAAATGCCAACCTGAGACATTACTGAAACCAAGATAATTTGCTTTCTCCAGGGTTCTCTGCAACTGCAGCCAATCACTTGCTCAATAACCTTCCTTAAAAAGAAATAATTGGAGACAAGATGTTAAATTGTTCAGAATTGTTGGATTCAAGGGCAGTCTCTTGAGGAGAAGGCATACCACTGTTTCTTATAAGGTTGAAGGCACCACCTTCTCCCAGGCCAATAACACAGCACAGACCAAACTGTAAAATCATCTCCCAGACCACCTTAATGATTCAGGGGGGTCCTGGATCTAATAAATAGCTGGTCAAATAATTATCAGGCAGAATATTAAACTAAATGTAATTTCATTAGATTATTCAAATGGAAGAACACATCAAAGAAATGGAAACGAGAAATGAAATACTTCCTACCCTGAATTCAGCTGGCAAGGCACACTCTGCTAGCAGAGCGAGGTCTTCCTGCAACCGTGAATCACCTGATGGTTCAATTGTAAGCACCTTTACACAGGTGCCTGGCTTGGACGAAACTAAAAGAAACAAAAGCAAAAATATCAAAACTTTAAAATACAGGCATGATATTCCCCACCGGAAAAAAAAAACCTGAAAAGTAGCCAGGGGTGCAGGTGTTGCCTAAGCACCCGCCGCGGTCCGCGCAGCGCCCCGGTGGGAATTAAATTGGCAACGCCCCCTTGAAGCTTTAGCAGAGTAAAGTAATCAAAAGTGATTTTTCAAGGTGAGTCTGCATGATAGTTTTATTATTTGACAAAAAAAAAAAAAAAAGCACCATGAGAATGCTCTCGGGCAAAGGATTTCACATTTAAAAAATAAAACAAACAAACAAAAACAACAAACAAACCCTGCTTAACAGACAGAAAAACAGCCACAATGCTTCACCTCTAACTGGACTTTCTCTTTGTTCCCTTTCCTTTGATCAGCATTGCTTCTCTATGCTTCTTCTAGCTAGTTGAGCTGATAGCATAACTTTGAGTCTGGCCTGTCTTTTGGCTACAGTTGTCTTCCTCTTCAGTTCCAGATTGGCCCTCTTTGCTGCAAGCTTCTGTTTTATTGTCTTCAGTTCTTCCATGTACGATTTATGTGCCCTTCTCATATTTCTTACAAGACTTGGATTCACTGGGTCATGTTCAAGGTCCTTCCTTTGATACTGCTGTACAGCAGACTTCCCTGAAGCCTTCAATGAGTATTTAACACTTTGAAGAGCATCAAATGTCCTTATGCCAAGGCAAGATGTCTTGGAAGTTATAATGTTACCCATTAGGCTGAAAGAACTCTCAACTTGGGGTCCATGGAAGCAGCTCATGATTGCTTTAATCGTCTTGAAGAGGCAAGGATACTTTCCTGCTGAAACAATCCCAGTCCACCAGTTGTCTATCATTGCTTGGTCTGCTGCACTAGGTATCCTGGCATCACTGTGATACCGGTGAACCTCTAGTATGTAGGACTCTACCTCTGAAGCTTCCAAGACATTTGGTAGAAGCTGTGGAAGTGCCTTCATGCACTTCAGTGCTTGGGAGTGTCCTCTCACAATGGGGTCTGTTGCTGAGAAATGAGCAAGTAATTTGTTCTTGATAGGCAGTTTTTCCTGCAAGCATTTTCCAGCTGAAACATAGGCAGACCTTGCCCTAGTAAGGAATCCGTTCTTCACCTCCTCCTTCTCTTTCTTGAGAATCTCTTTCGCTTCAGGCCCAACAAACATGTCTATACATGGTAACAAAGAAATCTCAGCTTGGACATCTACTGCACACACTTTACAGTCACGAAGTACTTCTGGCTTCACAAAGCATGCAAATAAGTTCTTTGTCAAGTCTACAACTTCATCATGCAGTTTGTGGATTTTTGTTTCCTTCTTCTGAAACACCAGAACAAACTTCTTCAATAGAGGCAAGGAAGCACAGTAGAAATGCAGGAGCAATCTTGTGTAGCTGCGATTCACAAACAGCTTCTGTGTGATTCTTTCTTTTCGTTGTTTCCCCTCTCCTGTCATCTTCTTCTCTCTGAGTTTGACTTGAATTGCTCTGATAGCCCTGACAGCTTCATCTCCAATATCCTTTGTGTTGAAGATACCCTTGCACAAGAAGAAAAAATGCTGACGATCGAATGGAAGGTAGGAAGGAAAAGTAGAAGATAGTGTACACTTCAAGCAACCTTAGAGTGTCAACTGCTACATCATACACACTAAGCCACCTGGTTGGAATGTATCTCTCTGGCATGGTGAACTTTACTCCAAGAATGATGCTCAGCTCCTCCAGGTACTGGCGAAGATCCGTAGACCATTTGAAATCATTGTAGATGGAGGTGAATAGCTCTTCTAAATAATGTTCAGAAGTACTTGAGAACTTCTTGCAAGAATTGTGTACATGATGACACACATCTCCATCAATGTCCAGGAGATGAGGAGCATGCTTTGTCCTTATCCATGTCTCCAATCCAGCCTTTGAAGCCTTCATAACATTGCAAGAATCCATGAGAATAGACATGACATTTTCCCACGGTATGTTGTGTTGTTTTAGCAATGCATTGATTACTTTTTCAAGATTCTCACTGTTCACCACTATCAAACTAAGTGAGGCAAAGTGCTGAATTATAACCTTCTTCAGAGAATCAGAGTAGTAGCTCACCAGGACAGTCAAAATTTTCTTGTTGCTGTCAGAGGTTGCCTCATCAATGTTCATTGAGAACTTGCTGCTTTGCAGGTCCTTCACTAAGTCATCTTTGATAGTCTTTGCAAGACCATATTACATTTTATATGATGCAGTATTTCTGTCCATGGAGAGTTGACTTAGGACCTTGGGATCTCCAGCGAGAACCTGTGACAAGCTGATCAAATCTGGTGACAAGCTAAATGGAAGCGACTTCTCTGCAAAAAACGCCAACAGCATGGCCTCGTGGTTAGTAACTCTGTCCATGAGAGGAACCGAGGCTTGAAGAGGTGGACAAGATGGTGCTACGTTTGACTTGACGGAAGGGTGCAAGCCATACGTTGAGCTGGAAGTTGATGTTGAGGGAGCAAATGCAGCTGTAAAAAGAGAGAGGGAGAGGTAAAACAAAGTAATATGACATCATAATAATGATGATGATGATGGTGATAATAACTACAATTATAATTATTATTATATTATTATTAATAACAATGTACTACTATAAAATTTATGATACTATGTACTGACATTTCCTATATAATTAATATTACAGGAAAGAAATAATTTTTGAAGATATTGTGAGATTTGTCATGCTTTAAAACATTTTTAGAAGTACAATTTATGACGCATTTACTTTATGTTTCAATACCAAAATACCTTGAAATTATTTACAAATTTATCTTCCCTAAAGTCATAAATGTTCATAGATTTCCTCTGAGGCAGATGTTGAATTGGAGGCATGATTTTTCTCCTGATCTAAACTTGCTGAGTTCACAATTGGTTATTTACATGTTGTTTATTCAAAATTGTTTGTGATCAAGTCTAATTATATGTTCATTCAATTTTTGTTTGTTTGTGATACTATATTAATTAATATGCAGGGCCTTCACGTACAGTAAACCAGTTTATAATAACCACTGATAAAGCTACCCTGGGTAAAAAAAAAAAAGAATAAATAAATAGAATAAATAAATAAATAAATAAGTTTGGATGCATTCACTAAACACTCCTTCAATCACTTAATCTCTAATTAAATTTCATCAAATAAATCAAACCAGCATAAAAACCCCATTCACGTAAGATCGGAATGGAGCCGTCTACTCGAGCCAACCAACAAACCCCCACAGCACAAAGACTCGTGCCACCAGTATTCACCCCCGGAACTCTGGCAGGGCTAGCCTGCAGTACGCCCCAATATAGTCAGCCGGTTTGCTTCAGCAATTCAGGGATCGTATCGAAATTGCAGTCAGCACCACTATTCAATGACTAATTAACTTCACAAAGTGGGGGGGGGGAATTTGGGGCTAAAACACACAAATTTTTCATGTAAAAATTATCTACACACTCTACAGTAACTTTCCAATGCCAATTTTGGGGACTTACGGTTTTAAAATCAAGGGATTTCATGAAGAGTTTTCCGTATATTTCGAGCTGGGCATCCCCGCATAGCACTGTCTAAATGCCGATCCCGTACACACGCAAGCACAAATATGAACGAACGAATTCAAAGTTTTAGTTCTAACTTGGTCCGGACGTGAAGACAGAAATGATTACAAAACATTTATTTTAATAAATGAGATCACAGATGAAACTTACCACTAAGGCTGTAATTTGTTTCCCTAAGTTTCTTCACGTCCATGTGTTTCTTCTTTGTCATATGCCGCTTTATCACAACGAGGCCACCCTTTGCATAGGTGATAACACTTTCACACCAGACACAAAATGCTTTCCCTGGTTCCGCGACTTTTCTGATACATTCAGATATCATGGTGCCATCAACAGTTCTCTGGGTCCATTCCCAATTCCACTTGTCACGGACAGTTCCATCAATTTTCCTGACAAGGGCTTCATCCTTTCTTTCCAAAATTTTCCACCGAGAAGCCATGCTGTTTTTGCTGTCTTTAGATACGGGAGGCCAAATCCAGCATGTGCATAAGCAATGGCGATACACGGCGTGTTGTAAAAGTAGATATTTTCACGCGATTAATTATCGCGTTCGGTCGAGTTAAAACAATTTCACGTGTTTCTAATTTCACGGAATCAAGACATACATAGAGGTACGTATAACAAGCAAAAATATTTGTGTGCTTTTATTTTCGCGGTCTGGTTGCGCGAAATGCGTGAAAATTTCCACACCGCGACTTTTGGGCATACGTATGACTGATTGAAACACAGGCCGTACGCACGATGCCAGCACGCGCCCCAGCCCTCGTACACTAGCTCGCTCTGCCTGGCTGGCGCGGGTCATGGCCGCGGAGCTAGCTCTGATCGGATCGAAAATACTGAATATTTTATTGATATGTTCTTCTAACACGAGCTAGAAATATACATACAGTATATTATATAACCTCTATATAACCAGCATGCACTTTATTTCCACACAGGCATCTATGGGCAACATGGTACCCAAATGTCTTAAACCAAACTACTTAAAAATCTGCCCACTTCCATTAAAAGACTTAACTTTAGCTTGACAGTTTCTGTGCATGATACAATTGCAAGATTCAAGGGATATATACAAGAGATAGTGTTTTAGTGTCATTTTCTTTCATTTCCCCATAAGATGAAAGATATTCTGTTTTAGACTTTTGATCTATTGTTCAATGTTAGATACTATGGTTACCGATTCTAGTATGGTGAACTAGATATTGTAAAATAGATAAATTTGCTTTTGGTAATTAATATGAGAAAGGGCTACTTTTCCATTTTCCGATAAAAAATGACAGGGAGATAAAGAAGATTGGGAGGCTTACCAAATTCATACACCTTTTTACATTTGGTTTCCAAGTCTTCAATGAGATCTTGGAGCTGACATTGTTTGGCCAATCTCTTGCAGTCATTAACATATTCTACATCTATGTCCAAACACCCTGGTAAAGAAAAGAGAAGTGCTAATTATCCTCTCACTTCATTCTTTCAATTCATCCTTGTTATTGTTTACCCATGTCTTCTCTCCCTCCATACAACCATAGCTATAAACTTAAACTCCAGCACCACCCTGTGGTTTAAAATAAACCTGTTAACACTTTTGTGAACAGAACAGGTTATACAGGCATCTTAAAGTGATCTTCTAAATGATTATATTAGCATGAGCTAATTCTATTCTTTTACTGCATTAACTCTTTATATGTTGGGTTTTTTTTCCATTGAAAATTATAAATTACAATTATCAAAAATTATGCTACTAAATTTCAATGTCTGAGGCAGGGTGTTACCAGTAAATACCTGAAAAAGTTGTCCAAAACTTTACAGGTATATGAGGGACATATCTAAAAACAAGAACCTCTCATTCCCTCCCTTTTAAAAATTTTTGGAAATTCTAACCACATTTATTTGATGATTATTACTACTTATTTTTGTATATATGGTGGCAGACTGGAAAACCATTTTAGTGATAGATAACATAGCATTACTGTGCTAGGGTACGTCAAATTTTTCTACTTTCAATTTCCAAACATTAGGGGTGCTCAAAAGTTGTACAAGCCTTGGGGATTGTAAAGATATTTTGATTACTTTAATATAATTTAGATGTGCTTGATAAGTAACTACAGAAATATCGTAATTTTTTAACATTTTGCTTGTTTCATGAGTATCCACTCAATTTCGCTCTGAACATCCACACGCTATTTAATTCTAATCCGGAGCAAAAAGCTGTCCGCCCAATGAACTATTTATTCCCAGAATCTTTCAATAAATTCCAACAAATCTAAAATTTTGACAGGAAATATCAACAGGAAATTTATGTAGAACCTATCACAAATAAGAAATAAAATCCATAGTTTTAATATATCACATTAGATTTACCTGTATAGAGGTATTGCAGAAGGGAACTAAAGGCTGCTGGATTGATCTGTATATGGAACAAATGAGTTATATACAAACTTTTGAAAGAAATAATAGTATAAATGAGACCTACATTAGAAAGTAAATAGGGCCTAGAATTCTGTTGGCTGAATTGGGCAGCTACAGTTGGTGCAAAATGCAGACTCATTTGCAATATTGGCAAGTCTCATTAAGTCCTATAATGGCTATAACACCCCTGCTATAAGGGATGCAGTGTTTACTACCTGGCTTCTGGCTGTAATTCAATATGTTGTTGGTTTATCATCTACAAAGCTCTGCATGGCATAGGGCCTAGCAATTTGAAGGTCCATATGCCTCGTCTGGGGTCCACTCACCCTGAGAGCTCTGACAGTTGGCTTGCTTCAGATTCCATTAATTAGGCAAGGTCATCTATGGGGAACCTAAAAAGCAGGATTACTCTGTTGCTGGATCTGCCTGTTAAATATAGCTCCCTCCCCCATCACTCCAGAAATCCACACAGCTCCCACTTTGTCCATATTCAAGCATATTTTAAAATTTCCCCCAGCCTTGAGTTAAGATAGACAGATAGGCCTCTTTGAGGGGAATGTTTAAGGATAGCTTTGCTCTACTGGCTGGCCACTGTTTATGAATATTGTTTCTTTTTACAGACTTTTTTACTTTCTGAATCTGATCAGAGCCACTGGGAGTTGACTGGCCAAAAAAATAAGCAAACAAGTTTAAAACTTCCCTCCAGCATTTAAAATTTAATGGCAAGAAGCCATCTATTTACAAATCATGTAATCAGTTGGGTCAGATTTAGGAATATACAACAAGGCAGCAGAAGCAGGCTCCTTATCCTGACACTTTTGCTATCTTGAGGATACGTTAAGCGCCCAGGTAATATTTGCTGAAGGCTGAATGTTTTGCATGACAATTGACTTGGGAAACTGGTTCCCCATAATTCTAATAAAAAGTGTTTTATGAGATCTAGACTGCTCATGAGAGGTCATCTTTCTGATCTCATTTTCATTTTAAAATACTGAAGAGAAATATAAAACAGAGGTTTAGTTTTCAGTACCTCTTAGTTCTAATTCACCTGCACCACAGATTAATGTATCTAAAAGTGGAAATGTGTGATACTTCTGTTAGCATGACCCATAATTCCACTACTTTGCAGTAAAATTTGTTGGGATCTGTTTTTGCCAAATGATAAGTAAGAAAGTCTTAAATGTAAAAATATTCAGGAAAAAACCAAGATTGGGTTTCTTACCAATGGATGTTTCAGTGCTATGACATTTTTCCCCTTCCACTTGGTCTCAAACATTTCTGCAAAATATGCACTTCGAGCACCCAGTACACAGCGATGAGCACAGAAAGACTTCCCATGAACAATAAAAACAATGTCACTGTGGTAACCCTGTTCTAGAAGCCTGCAAGGAGATTGAGAGGGAAAAGTAGTTTCATGATTAAACAAGAACAGTATGGAATAATTCAACTTGACATTTCTATGCACTGAGAGGATACATCACCATCTTTTCCCCCCAAAGAAAAAGATTAAAGCTGTAAAATAGCATTATTAATATTGTATTTGATAAATCCTATTTATTTTTCTTATTGTAGTGTTGTTACAGTTTTTATTCTGGATGATAAATTCTAAAGATGTAACACCAGTCACAACTGTATGAAGAAAGAACAGTTTTAAACACCATTGTAGTTTTTTTTACACACTCCATCTCCTTAACTACTTAAATTCCTAGCAATCAAATCCTGCTCTAATCCTCTCCAAAGGCCTTTAAAGAAGCTATGTCTTTCCCTGGGCTTCCACAGCAACAGCACAAATCATTTCTTCAGCTCAAAGACATATTTTTCTGATAGTAGGCAAGTCCAGGCAAAGGTATGGCTTCTTTAAAGAGCAACAGATAGCTAGGGAGAAGAACTAAACCTTGCATACTTCTATATAACAGAGTGCCATAACTTAACGTCACTTTTATTGCTATGGGAAGGCATGTTAATAAATAAAAGACAATGATACAGTCCCCTCTGAAGATGACTCTTTTGCCAACATCAAAATACATCTCTTTACCGCTGAAGAAATGCATCATAATAGTCCCTCTTCATGCACTTTGCTGTGATCTGTTTATATTCCTTCAACACTCGCCGAATAGTATCATTCAGAGCTCCATATAAGCAACGTTCACCATCAAATGTGTTTGCTTCACATTTTGCACCTGTAGGGAAGATCAGTTTACATAATGTAAACATATACTACGTAATATAACACATTTTTATCAGCACTATTTTTGGAAAGGTGACTGATAGAAACCAAATAACTTCTATAGAGTCCTTAGATATCACTGCAATTTTTTTAGGTCCAAAGAAAAGCTTATAAAAGAGAATCAAATCCCATGCAGTGTCATCCACTTAAAGAGCTAATTTAAGATTATGGAGCAATATTTTAGAAAAAATACATTTTTATTGCGCATGAATTATAAAATTATAAAATGAAAACAGCAATCCTATAGTAGACAAATTTAGGTCCTCAAAATATTAGAATGACACTACTCTATTTGGCTGAAATAATAGAAAAAAATCAGTTTACATACAGAAAATACATAGAAAAACAATAAAAATAATTTGTCACTACATTGAGTTGAGTATACTATAATAATACTCTCAGCTAAATTACATTTCATTTCTAGGTAGCTCGCCTACAGCTTCTGTTAAATTCTTTAATTGTAAAATATTTTATATCTGTATCCCTAATTTTAAAAAAGCAGCAAGTTACCCCAAGAAAATCTTCATGTATTAGGACATGAATCTGCTTTGTGATTTAAAACACACTCTACTCTTTTAATGTCTGATCTTTATTTTCTCAGGTAAATTTTCCTGTTAGAAGACTTGTATAAAGCTAACTGCACTTCTTTTTCATATATTTTCCTTGCAATCAAATTATTATGAAACAGTGTATTAATTCTCAAGAACATAGGTGAACAATAGCTTAGTTTTGATGGATTTCTATGCCAAACAGCTATTCTTAGTTTTCGTGTTTCTTCTACTATCCACTTCATAGATGACAACAGCTGGCCATTTCTAGCTTGCTTTTAAAGTGAATGTATTTCTGGTATAAAACCTGGTCCAGTTAGATCTCCCTCTAATCTAGTTTACCCTTTTAGAGGTATCAACATGAAATGGAACAGAAACTATGTTACATAAAATGTCACCAAGTACTCTCCAACTTCTTAAAAAAAGACCCATAAACAGAAAGGAGGGAAGACTTTCTTCGGTGTTGGAAACAAGTTGAAAGGAACTATAGTTTTCATCATAGCAAGATTATTAGCTGACTTTACAGTTCCAGTTCTAGAGGGCATAAAGTGACAACATATATTTATTTCTAGAAGAATGTACCAGTCTTCTTACCATTGGCTAGAAGATATTGCACAAGTTCTTCATGTCCACAGAGACAAGCATAATATCTGTAAAAGAGAACAGTGTGATCAGATACTTGAAGATGTTCTAATATCTTCCTCTCAATCTCTGTTGGAGCTAAACATACTGAGATCCTTTAACCATTCTTTGTAGGTTTGCTTTTCTGGCCCTTTACTATCCTGGAATCTTTCCTTTGAACTTGTTCTCCTTGTCCTTCTTAAGGACCAGACATAGTACTCCAAGTGAGGTAGGACCAGGGCAAAATAAAGTGGAGCAATCATTTCCTGTGATTTATATTTTATGTTCTTATTAATGCACCCAAGATAGCAACTCTTTTTTAAGCAGCTGCATTACACTGCTGGCTAACCTGCAACCTTCTATCAGTTAACGACACCCAAATCACTTTTAAATGTGCTACCGTCAAGCCAGGTCTCCTCCACCACATTAAGATATTACAGGCATCTTCACTTAACTACTGGGCTAAGTTTATAATCAGTCGAAGTTAAAACATCCTCAAAATGGGCATTTTACAGCCCAAAATGCATCCCCAGCAGTCGTAAAGGGTAATGCAATGCCTCCTGCAACCACCTGACTGCATGTTGGGTAGGCCAGCTTTATAAACAATTATGAATTCCACAGTAATGTGATTTGTGATGTTTTTTGTTCATTTTCTGGCCAAACAAAAGCCCAATCAAATGAATGGGTTTTCTTAAAAACCACGGCATTCACTTAAAGACCACAGTGGAAAATTCCTTCTGATCACACGAGTGCTTCGACTTATAACTCCAATGACATGACCCTAATTCCAAGCTCTATTATGGTTGTAAGTTTAGGGCTACCTGTACAATCATCATGATAAAGCACTCAAATAGCCAAAAGTGTTGCTGCATTTGCCACAGATTATCCCTATATTACAAAGCTTTCAAAATCAAACTTATTTTCATTAAGCTGTTTAATTTGGTTATATGTATATGCAAAATATTTTAAAATAAAAAAAATTATTCAGTTCCAATACAGTGTAGGATGACAACCCCAATAAAACTCAAGATTAGAATTATGCAAGTGTAGAAAAGGTTCCTAAGCACTCTAATTGTATCACTGAGCTCCTACATATTCAATCATAATGTGGCGGCCTATTTGGTGTTAGCTTTGCATATTTTAGAAGCAAACTCATATAGTTTATTTAGTAATTCATTATGAGAGAAAAACAGCGTAGCATGATAGTCTCACAATAGAATATAATGTATTACCTGTTATTCCCTCAGTTGGGAAGAACTCATGTCCAATAAACAAACCAAGAAAATTATACATTTGATATTTTTAAGAAATATAAATGCTCTGCTCCTTTTATGCAAGACTTCCAGAACAAATCACATAAATAATAAATATTTTAAGCAGCAATTTCTTATGAGCAAAAGCATTCGGCCTTAGATTTAAACATATAGAACAGTGTATACTTAAATATCTTGTCTTGGCTCTAGAAAGATTTGTCTGAAGCCAGCAAAAGTTTGCCTGAAAAATTCATTCTACAATAAGAGCCCTTTTCCCAGTCTCATCTTGAGGAATCAAGATAAAACAAAGTTTAAGTTGTCCAGAAGTTGCTTAAGCGTTTAAGGCAAAACCATCACTTTGATTTTTTTTCCTAGATTCAGACTGATAACTAAAACTACTGTTTCAGGACTAATGTAAAATACAATTTTCTGAAAGATACTTGGGTAAAGTTATTTTTGTCTACCTCATAGCCAGCAAACATCCTCACCAATTCCACAATGTTGTCTTTCAACCATTACTAATGCAAAATAAATTAACATGTTTCCTTACCACCCTCTGAAAAACTGTTCTCATTTTCTCCCCAATTTTCAAAATCAATCAAACTCACATTCCAATAAATTAATCAGTTCTCAAACGCAACTTTTCTGATAATACTGCTCTCCAAATGTTTGCTAAGACATACTACTTCTCAAGGTGGTAATGGTAATGCTGTTTTTCTGCTTGGAATCAAAAGACAGCTGCTTACAGTGTATATGCTTTGCTTTCTGTGAAGAAGATATTTAAGAACCATAGGAATTGGTCAATTAGACAGAGAAAGGAGCACTAGTTTATTGGCACTCTTATTTGGCAAATGGCTAACTAGAACCAGACTGAACAATGACTGAATAAGTTTTCTGCAAACTCCAAACTTACAAATTTGAGGCTGCATGCTAAGAAAAATGAGTTCTGTAGACAATGAAGACAATGTGAAATCCCAAGTACATATTAAATTGCATTACAAACAAATAAGTGAAAACTTTTATGGTGTGACTGATCACATTGTATAATTCTAGACATCCTTATGCTATATCCTGGTCCTTATGTCAGTCCTTTTGCTTCAAAAATAATATAGCTCCAAACATAAGTTGAAAACAATTATGAGAATTAATGTTTCCATGCTAACGGCTAAATCAAATTAGCAGGATTTTTCTAGCAACTTATTCAAATGGCTACTCTCAAGCAATGATAAAAACTGTACTGTTACGCATATTTTTACAAAGGAAAAAAAGTATCCAGAGGGGTAAACACTCAAGTATTCTTCATACATATAATCTGGGAGAGATTACTTAAAATACTTGTAACAAAAAGCATTTTCTTTTCAAAAAATACAAAGGATAGAAAATGCTGCAAAAGCTGAAAGACCTTTCTTAAATCCCTTTGTAAATTATCAAACAGTATGGGTGTCTCAAGGCCAAAGCACTCACAAAGGCGTACTGTCCCATTTGTCTCGGACATTGATTTCAACATCTCGCTGTTCAAGAAGGTATCTGAAAGACAAACAGACAATTTTAATAACTAAGGATCTATTCCAAGACACTTTATTCATGAGTTTTCTTTTTTATTAAACAAGTGTCCTAGCAACGGAACCCTCTCAAAGCCTCAACCCAAGTAAGTAAGAATCCGCCAAAAATATTTTTAACACATTACACTAATTCTACTGCTTTTCATTTGTCTGCCTACTATAGATCAAATCTAACTTTCTAATGTGTGTGGGGGGAATCAAATAACAGAAGTTCTTTAAGATTATTTATCAAAGATACTATTGATAGGAATACAAATATTGTCCCTGTATATTAGGAGCATTAAGAAATAGAAGTATGCAGCAAAAACTGCATTGGTCCATTTGGTTGTCAGGTGTAATTCTAAGTGCTAATTATCACATTTGAAATCCTTTGCTACTTGGAGCCTCATTATCACTAAAAGAGCTTACTTCAATTAGAATCTGCCTGCAGAAACGAAATGGTCAGAGTTCCCATTCACCAGGAATTAAGGCAGAAGAGACTAGAGACAAGCATTTTCTGCAGAGACTCTCCTGTTAAGGAATTTTATACTATCAAATAAAGCATTGGTCCTTCATACATAGAATTTAGGAAATTATCTCTATCAGAAAGCATTTGGACTAGGAAATGAAGAATGCATACGCCAGAGGTGAATGGTAGTACAGCAAGGATATAATGCTATTCATGATTGTTTAAGATAGCATTCTACTGATATAAACACTATAATATTATTGTACAGACTAATAGGATTGTTATATTGTTTTGTTCCATGCTGCTTAGATTTCCACTGACTGAATAATTTTCCTAGAAACCAGGAGGGTGTGAATTCTAATCCTATCTTAGGCATGAAAGCCAGCAAGGTGACTTTGAGCCAGTCATTTTCTCAGCCCAGCTTACCTCACAGTGTTATTGTTGTGGGGAAAATAGGAGAAGGAAAGACTATTAGGTATATTCACTATCTTGAGTTATTTATAAAATAATAAAGGATTAAAATTGAACAAATAACTGAAATAAACAAAAATAAATAAAAACAAAGCATTGTTTCTTGAAAAATCCTTTAAGCACTATAAGAATAATTTATCATCTGATTTAGTCATCTTACTGATTTAATCAGATTTAAATTATGTGAAGTACATAATATAATCACAAACATGGGGCCTTTCTTTATATATTGCTAACAATTATTATTAGCTTGTATTTTGATTATGTTCTGTCATACAGTAACAGCGCTGAATTCTTCGTTACAGGCCGCATGAAACATCTAGTGGAAAACCAGAAGATAGATTAAAAGTATCTTCAAATAAATACCATGCAATTTTAGGACGAGACTGTATATTTATAAATTGCTTCAAAGCTCATCTTACATATACTGTATCTCTCTACTTTTTACGCTAGGTGTGTTAGGATATCTGAAGTTGTCAGCTGTTTTAGGGATGAAGTAGAGCTGATAAGCAGGAAAAACTTTTTTTTAGAAAGAATGTAAGAACCAGGGACTCAGCTAGGTGGCAGCATCTAGCATAACTTGACTGATGGAAAAAGAAAACAAAAGGAAACCATAAGGCAGTTAATACCTGGATGGTAAAGCACAAGATAATTCCAAGGCTAGACCAAGAAACAAAATAAATGTTCCAGAGGCAATGTCAAACCACTTCCATGTTGTTGCCAAGAAAATTGCAGTGACACAGCCATCAAGTCACCAGGAAGTGAACCTAATCAAGGAGGATATTGGATTTCCCACTACTGTCATGAAACAAGTTGAGGAAGAGACTTAATAATACCAAACAGTAGTTGCTTTGGGAGATAAGTAAATGTGAGCAGGCCAAAAGCATGCTCATCATGACAAAATTAAAATAGCATTCTTTCTATCATTTTTGGGTCCCAAATATTTAATATTCTGTAAGACAAATTTGTCTTACTAATACAGGATTCTAACACATACTTGAAAGGATCAAATGTGTGGAGTACGCATACACACTTTGCTGCTGCTGGAAGAGATAAAATGGAAATGGAAGTGATGAAAGCTAATGAGAATTACCCATGGTATAGCGACTTCCAACAAAGCAAGTGTGAATCAGGCATTCTTTCATTGAATACTTTAATATATGTAGCGTGATAAGAAAATTTGGTCACCATGAGAAATGGTGTTAATGCCTCTTTTGAACAACTCACTACTGTTATATTTAATGCTACAAAGAGCCAGATGTGGTGCATACACAGCCCATTTCCTCCCAAAGGCTACTTCTCAACCTAGAATACAGGTAGTCCTCAACTTACAACCACAATGGAGCCCAAATGTATGTTGCTAAATGAGAAATTTATGAAGTGAGTTTTGCCCCATTTTACAACTTTTCTTGCCACATTTGTTAAGTGAATCAGTGCAGTTGTTAAATTAGTAACAGGGCTGTTAAGTGAATCTGGTTTCCCCATTGACTGTCAGAAAGTCCCAAAAGGGGATCACATGACCCAAGAACACTGCAACCATCATAAATGCGAGTCAGTTGACAAGCATCTGAATTTTGACCATGCTGTGAAAAATGGTCATAAGTGTGAAAAATGGTCATAAGTCACTTTTTTCAATGCCATTGAGACTTTGAACAGTGACTAAAGGAACTGTTGTAAGTCGAGGACTACCTGTACTTAAATCGCAGTTTTCATTCTACATTTCCATCAATCTGGCCAACTTTTGCCTTGCATGCCACATAACAAGTGGCTGCATTTTCTGCTACCCCTAAAAGGATGGTGAATAAGTAATTAATAATTAGAAGCACTTTCAGTTAAGCGCCTAGTCCACATTTATAGGTTGGAAGAGTCTGAAAATGCAAGAGCCACTTTGAAAAGTTCCGGCTGGTAAACAAACACGCAGCGACTCTCAACAAACACAAGGGTTTCGGCAAAGCCCGAGAAAGCGGCAGTTGTACCACCCCGCACTACCACCACCCAGCCGACCTCGGGGGCTCAAGTCATAACCCCAAACGGGCCACCCGCACCTTCTCCACCCTCGGCCCGCCCCCAGCACCCCTTAAAGCCTCGGCCCAGGCCTCACCGCACGCGACAAACGTCGCCCTTCTTGCAGCTGGTGAAGAGGTCGCTGGTGTCCATGGCCCGGCGGAAAGCACCGCATTGACCCGGCCTGGAAAGGGAGCGAAGGTGGGTTCGGGTAGAAGAGGCGGGGGTGGGGGACTGCGAGGCCGCGGAGTGGAAGCCGAACGGGACGGATGTAAACACGACTGACGGGGGCTGAGCCTACCAAGGCCGGCCCTCGCTCTCTCCACCCCGGCCAGCGCGCAGGCAGGCCCGCCCCTCTCGCCGGTTCGCAGGAGGCTGGACCTGGGCGGCGGGAAGGAGCCTCGTCTCGCCTCTGCCCGGTTTGAAAGGTGAGCCGGGACGGCAGTCGGTCCTTCAAAGCCCCCACCACCACCACCACCACCACCACACCGTGGCTCAGGACGGCCCCAGCTGCGCGGCGGCGGCGACTAGCCCTCTTTGGACGCTACGGGCGACGGCCTGGCCTCCCCCGGAAGCCCCAGTCACGCCCGGGGATTCGCATGCCGCCCGCTTTGCGACCCTCGCCCGAAAAACGGCGACGCCGCTCGCTTATTAAGGTTTGAAGGCATCGCGGGCCGGGAAGCCTTTCTCTCCACGCTCCGGAAGCCGGCTCCCATTTAAAGGCAGCGGGCGCTGCAGAAGCCACCGAGAAGCGGAAGCGCCTGTTAGTTTTGTGGTTTTTTTGCTTTTGAAAAGGACGCGAATTGAAAACGCAGCTTTAAAGAAGGCGCCCAGCCCTGAAAAGGAAGAGCCGCCGAGGAGGCGGGGAGGAAAAAAAGCCGCAGGATGGAGAGAGAATTTGTGTATGAATTCAAGGCCGGGAACCAGCATTTTCTGCTTACCGTGCCGCTGAAGTTCCCCGTCCAAGAAAACGTTAGTCATTTGCCTAGGTGCCTAATGCTGCTTCATAATTTGCCTTGCTTCGTAGAAAACGGCTTGAAAGAGTCTCTGACGAAATTCATAGAGGAGGCATCCGTAGAAGATTTTGACAGAGAAGCGGAAGCTGCTCTGGAAGCTGTAAAATCTGGTAAAATGGATTTACACCAGCTGGCGAAGGCTTGGGCCCAAGCTTACACTGAGGCAACCTCGGAGTATGCCAGGCCAGAAGACCCCAGCTGGGATGAAGATTTTGCAGATGTTTATCATGACTTGATCCACTCTCCTGCCTCTGAAACTCTATTAAACTTGGAACATAATTATTTCGTTAGCATCTCCGAATTAATAAGCGAGAGGGATGTGGAGCTAAAAAAACTGCGAGAAAGACAACGGGCAGAAATGGATAAGGTGATGCAAGAACTGGGGAAATCATTAACAGATCAAGATGTAAACATGTTGGCAGCTCAGCACTTTGAATCCCAGCAGCTACTAGAGAACAAGTGGAACAGTGAATTGAAACAAACCACAGCAATCCAAAAGCAGGAGTACCAAGAATGGGTGGTAAAAGTTCACCAGGATCTGAAAAATCCCAACAGTACTATTGGTGATGAGATCAAAGTTACTCCTAATCAGTGGAGAGAATCTGAAGAAGGAACTGGAAGACTCTTTGAGGACCAGAGGCAATTGGAAGAAAGTTTCACTATCCATTTGGGAGCACAGCTGAAAACCATGCATAATCTGCGACTCCTGAGGGCTGATATGCTAGATTTCTGCAAGCACAAGCGCAGTCACCGCAGCGGAATCAAACTCCACCGTCTTCAAACTGCACTTTCACTTTATTCAACTTCCCTTTGTGGTCTAGTCTTGCTTGTGGATAATCGCATCAGTTCGTACAGTGGGATCAAAAGAGATTTTGCAACTGTTTGCCAGGAGTGTACAGATTTCCATTTTCCTGGAGTTGAGGAACAGCTTGAAGTTGTTCAGCAAGTTGTACTTTATGCTCGAGCACAACGCAGTAGTAAAGCCAAAAGACTAAACGAAGCAGGAAACAGAAATAGTGGCAATGAAGATAAATCTAAAAATGGGGAACAGAATCAATCAAATATTTTTCCAGGAGAATTTTATATCACCCGACATTCAAATCTCTCTGAAATTCATGTGACGTTTCATCTTTGTGTGGATGACAATGTGAGGTCAGGTAATATTACAGCCCGGGATCCTGCAATCATGGGCCTCCGAAATATCCTTAAAGTATGCTGCACCCATGACATCACCACAATTAGTATTCCTCTTCTGCTGATACATGATATGTCTGAAGAAATGACGATATCTTGGTGTCTGAAAAGAGCAGAACTTGTATTTAAATGTGTCAAAGGATTTATGATGGAAATGGCTTCCTGGGATGGTGGGATTTCTCGAACTGTTCAATTCTTGGTACCCCAAAGTATTTCTGAAGAAATGTTTTACCAACTGAGTAACATGTTGCCACAGATTTTCCGTGTGTCGTCTACGCTAACTCTGACATCCAAACACTGAACTCCATCCAAAATTCTGCAAAGGATTAATTAAATGATCTGGATTTTAATACCTGAAACACTTTGATAACTTGAACGTGATTGTTGAAATTCCTAACAGAAGCACCTGCAAAAATTTTAAAAAAAAGTCCCACTGTACTTTCATGCCTACACAAAGGAAAATGGGTTATGGGTTATTCCCCCCCCCCTTTTTGCCATTTTGGGTTCTAGGCCCTCCCTCTGCTAAATACTGTTCTAAGGTCCTTCCAACTCTTAGATAATAAGTGTAGTAGAAAAGTGGGAACTAAATGTCTGTGTATCACTGGAAAGTAGCTGTATGTTTATAATTATCAAAGGGAAAAAAAACTTGCTTTTTTTTTAGATATGGGTAAATTCATATAGAAGTTTTCTTAGGTGTTTTGTTTTGAGGGTGATACCAGTTTGTTACTTCACAGGATAGAATGTTAACACAGGCAAATAACACATGCTAAGTTTTTATATTACCAGGTGGGATTTGAGATTATATTTTATTCTGTAGGGCAGTAATTCCTACTTTGAAATATTTGGCTGGATTTTTGCAGCCCAAATACAGTAGTCATATTTGAGATGGCATTATGTTTTGGTCTTGAGTTCATAAAAGAGATAAACATGAAGAATTCAAAACCACTGCAGTAAATTAAGAACTTCAGTTTTTTAATAGCAGGGGAGCAATTCATGTCCTTCAAATTTCATTGTGGGATTCATGCACTTTACCTAGCCATATACTGTGACCATTTGCTTGGTCTTAGCTTCATGTGTTGTATAAACTTGGCCATTGTAGTTTGCAAATCATGGCTTTAAAAACTTGATTCACACAGTATGTAGAAAAATATAATTTTCCCTGCAAAGACACAAGATATTATTACTATACTGTAGGTAGTGAAAATAACATCAGAACAACTACATCTTGGTTATCTTTATGCCAGTAGGCAAAAACATTTTACTTAAAGTACATTGATGGGTTTCTGCTGTTGATTTGGTCAAACATGGTGCTTATTCAGTAATGGTAATAGTGGAGAAAGCTGGGATGGAAGTTGAAGAAATAAATTATTAAAAAAGTATAACCATAATTAAATCTCAAATTAATTAAATTAATCAGGCATGCCTCTTCTCTGCGCTACTGTTGATACAGACATGCCTCTGTTTCATCTAGATTAAGAAATGAGCTTGTAACCCACAATTAATGCTAATTTAAGTTTGGTTTTAGGTTGGATTTTTTTTAAAAAAAATAAGATAATGAATCTACAGAGAAGTAAAAACATAACTAATTAGATTATTGAGGAACCTGGACTGGCTCATAGACAATTGTTATGACTTTGTTGTGCATAAAATATAAAGTGAAGTAAAATCATATGATATTGCCACTTTGGTGGTCAAATTTCCATTTACAGATATTTTCTACCGTATTTGTCACCTTAGCAACATTTCCAGTTCTTTCCTGTTTTTCAGGGTCTTGTTAATACTTGTTAATATTTGTCTCTTAAAGTAGTGCTTGGATTATATATATAAAAAAGGCCAAGTTAAGATCTAATGAAATAACCAGAGTTATGATCAGTTGCCTAGTGATTGTTCGAAGTGATGATGGACCTCAAAAGTACCTATGACACATTTGAAGTTGGAAGGCTAGGTTCACCTGAGGTCACATGATCACATTTTTGGCAGTTAGCAACTAGCCTACATTTATGGGCATTTATAGCATCCCACAGTCACGTGACAACACTTTTTTTTTTGCCTTTTTTTGTCAGAAACTAGTGTTTGCTTCCAGACAGTAGGTTTGCCTAACAACCACTGTTTGCTTAATGACCACTGCATTTGTTTAGTGACTGCCTAAAAAAAATGTAAAATTGGATCAGTCATGTGATGACCCACTTAACTTTAATTATAGGCTCAAAGTTGAAAATTACCTGTGCAGAACAACCATGTAGTATAAAATCTACCTATTTATATTTCCTCCAATAAATGGAGTTTGGAACTCATCATGTTGAGTTTCTTTAGTTTTTAATATCTATAAATTGCTTTTGTTCAGTGTTTCCTAATTTGGGGCAAAATTGATTTTGAGTGGTTTTCTCTACAGAAAATAACCATAAAGTCATGGTAATTTTTTTTTATATCAGATTGTAATGCTACATTGAACTAATTCAAAAATTTTGTCTTGTAACAATGTTTTAAATTTTTGAAATCCTCCTTTTCTCCTACTGAGTGATGAATTTAGCTTAATTTAAAATTTAGTCATGGCTTTAGCTTATGGGTTCTGATTGCTAGAACTACAGTAAGATGCAGAATATATAATTGCAATCCATGAATGAGTTAAAATTCTTTAAAAGTGTTAAAGAATGTTCCTGTCATTTCAAAGTCCTGTGGAAATTCTTTTAAATAATGAAGTTAATTTCCCAGAGCTGATACGATTTAATTTTGTTTTCATCATAACACTTTTAAAAATGGATGTGGAGTTTAATTAGAGAAGCATATTTTCCAGTTTCTTGAGCATATTCGGAAGAAATAGATTTTGAATGTTTCAGGTTTGTGATGCAAGAAGTGCCCACATTTTTAATACTGTTTCTTAGACTTTCCATCTTAAGCATCAGTTGTTCTGACTTTATCAAGCTTAAAAATATTTCTGCAAATATTTAGGAATATAAACCCCCTAAGATAATTGAGTGTTTATTGATTTGAATTGCTGATGATTTGCTCAATATATTTTGTATTGTTGTAGGAATATTTATCTAAATAGCG